ACGTTTAGATCGGTGCTGAGCAGGCTCTGTTCCTCGTAGAAGTAGTTTCTCGTCTATCCGCTCACGCTGAGGTTGCTTGGTGCCTCGTGCTTCATCTGCTGGATGTTGCCTTCGAGGTCATATTGGTATGTCTCGCGGTACTGGTAGAGTAGGTTGCCGTCGGTGACGCCTGGGGATGGGTTGAGACCGTTCAGACAGCTATGGGGTCGGAGCTGATTCGCGGCGATGAGCGCTGATGAGAGCTGCGCCCTCCCTGTTGCGGCGGACATTCTTCCAGTCACATCGTAGGTGTAGTCCCATTCAGGCTTGGCCCAGCTGCCGTGAAAATACTTGGCCTGCTCGGAGCTATCACTCATGAAAACCTTTCGCCCCTCGCAGTCGTAATGTGTGGGACACTGAAGGGCCTGGGTTTTCCCAGACCCACACCGGTTTGCTCTTGGGGCTGGATTTTCTTACTGTTTTCTTTTTAACCAACAACCAACTACTGTAATACTAATTTGTTTACCATTTTCTGGCCAATTTTGGCCTCATTTTCGCAGCCAGTGACTTTCCTAGGTCACCAGCCCTACATAATGATACGTCATGTCTTCCAGAACTTCTCTTCCATTCCGTGATCTGCGTGTGATCTGCTTGGAGATGAGCTACCTCGACTTTTCATCATAAGAGAAGTTTGTCGCGGCACCGTTGCCGTATGTGACGGTGATGGAAGACCATCGGCCTCAAATGTTGCCTTGGTCAGATACGACGTCCAGAGCCCAGTTTTGGCGGCCATAAACTCCACACGCTTGGCACACCCTCTCCGGTCATGGGATCTGCGTGTGTGGTTGCCCTGGGCGTCCTTTTCTTCCAGCACTTGGCCGAGGTTGTTGTACACCCAAGTGTGAGAGTAGACCGCACCTTCCAAAGCATTGGTCGTCCTCCAGTCGACCACTTGCTTGTACTCTTGCGTTGCCTGAAACGTATCCTCAAGACAATATCCGTGGATGTCAAAACGAAGACTTTGACGAACACTTGACTGGTCCTCCACCTTGAAGACTTGGCCCTTCAGATTGAGCATCGCGGCGTCGGAAACAGTCTCCCCGTAAGTGAACCTCACAGTGACTTGGGTGCTTCTGCACTATTCTGCGCCAGCCGTTCAGTTTCTCGGCCCAAGGCATCGTAGTGGGACTTGAAAGAGTATCCGCGGCAGTTCCAAGACAGGAGGTCCCCGCCTTGAGAATCCTGAAGGGACCATGATTCACCCTCGTCCATCACTGTCTTCTGCAGCAGGTGGCCAAGGTTGTTGTAGATCATCTTTGTCACAATCCGGTTGTGCGAGTCAATGTCCCGGGTCTTGTTTCCGTTGATATCGTAAACAAAGCGACGCGTGTAAGTCTCCCCGCAGGCTCTGCGTTCCGTTCGAATGGGCAACCCGCAGCTGCCGATGTGTGTCACTGTCGGGACATCTGCAATATGGCTGACTTTTCCGCGGCTTGTTTCTCTTGGGCCGTCCCCTTTTGACGTACGTTGTACCAGCTTGGTTGATATCTGGCCGTCCAAATCCTGGCAAAGAAGCATCCCACGTCGGGATCTTCTTGGGGACGAGACTTGAGAACCAAGTCGCCGGCAGTGTAATCTGTCTGTGTCCAGGAAGTATACACAATCTTGGTCCAGGTAGAGTAAGCCGATAAGGAGGCAACACAACAACCCATGGCATCGAAAAATGCAGTTGCAGCACAGGACTTCATGAGGAGGGCAGAAACGACCGTCGGCAAGCTCGCAAAACAAGGCTGGAAAGTGCGGATGGCATGACCATGGCTGTCCGGCATGGCAAGGCCAGATATATGCCACTTGTTCTCGAAGGAATCCGGATCATTTAACTGCGCTTCCTGGAACGGAGTCCCACGACCGGTCATGTAGGAGATACTGACGTGATCTTGGGACAATCTGACCTTCGAAACGAGAGATCGCGCCTAATACGAACAGAAACGCCGGTGCGGGAGAGCCGGCATTTGCGGTCGATACTCGGCCCGTTTTGATCTTGAGAGCGCCTGGTTAAGCCTTCTGTTGTCGTTCTTCCCAAAGAGCAAAGTGGTTGATGCAATGAATTGTCCTGCTCTCGGCATTGCCAAGAGCACGCCGAGCAGCCTCTCCCGCTGGATCGAGAAGGATCTCGTCAACGTCGGCAGCACTGACGTCTAGCACAGGATCCTGGACCATTGGGTACTGCCCCGAAGACTCCGAAAGCAAAAATCGTGCCATTTCGCCCCTGCCAAATCTCGATTCTGAGCCTCCTGCTCTTAACGAGGACCAGAAGCCCTTTGGGCCACAACTACCGCGTTGTGATCCAGGTATACTTTGGTCAGGGTCGACAGTTCCCCGAGCACTTGACGACGGCGCGGATCCCTTATCCTCTTCCCCAGCCATCGTTGCCAGTGATTTCACATCAGACGATACAACATCCCGGTGTCAAACAGGATACCTTCGGATAGACGATCTGTCGCAAGTATCACAAGTGCAACACTCTCCAACCTTTTACCTGGCCTGAGACGTAACGAGGCGCTGCGGTTAAACTCGACACTCGACTCGCCATTGTCAGAGTACTCCACCAAAATTCAGCTCCCGGGAACCGAATTGTTGTGGCCTATTCGAAAGAGGCCAGAATTGTACTTCGGCTTACCCAACAAAGTTGTTCCACCTGCTCCCTGCGTCGAGAAATGGGCCAAGCATGTCAAGCCTAGACTGTGGACCGATATCATTAAGTTCCAGAAGAACATGATCATGAATTCCAAACGACGATGTCGAACACCTGGCATGTTTATCGAATTACGAATGTCAGGATATGCATCCAAGCAGAAGGAGTTCATTCAGCTGTTCCCCCGGGTATAGATTCTTTGCGATGATGAACGACGGAAGAAGGAGATCAAACGGTTTGTTCGGGAGTCTGAATGGCTAGAACATAAAGATTTCGGGAAAGTCGAAGTTCGCCAAGGGAGTCCATGTGACAAGGGCTGTAATATCAGGGCTTGGAACTCATGGTTCAATTCAGGCTAATAATCTTCAATGGCCTCGAAGTCTGTGATACTGAAAGTGAAGAAGGAAAATACAGTCTTGATGATCCTGAACGCGTATTTTATCTTCCCTCGCGTGGCCCGTGCCCTTGTTGGCCTCAGGCCATCGCCAAGTCCTCCAATATCCTTCTGGGCCAGTGGGCTTCCTTTGATAACCGCCTTGCTTCTGATTGTCTGCCTCACTCTTGACAAGAGGCTCACAACGTGCAGCTTCCCCTCCTTAAGGTGATATTTGGCGTTGTTGTTGGTCATGGTTGTTGGTGGTTGGTGGTTGGCATTTGCCGTGTGACAGTCCAAGGCTTTCGATCAAACTTGCCGCTGCCCCCATCCCAGGTCTAGTTCTGGAGCCCCAGCACGGTTTCAGCATTAAAGAGGGTCTCTATCCCCACCTCCATGTTGAGGGCGGTCAAAAGGACTGCGATTTTGTCAATGGCCTTTTGTTTTGCGCCACAGCATCTCGTATGGGGCAGATCTACGGTCAACGGCTTTCGAGGATAGTTGGCATTTTATCCCTAAATGCCTCTAATGTAGCCGTCACAACTGGCCACGGCATCTTCGAACTACTCACGGATTTGCTCAAAGGCCAACCATAATCGGAACACCGGAGTTTCTTACCGTTTATAAACACCTCAGATGGTGGCTCTGACAGCGAAGATTCTTCCCCCGATGACATTTTAGACGATGAGTCGAACTGGGATTCGGATAGTGAGATGCCTGACACTAATTCTGACGACTTCCCTTAGCCCTACCCAATTGGCAGCGTAGACCTTGCGACAATCCGAGATTGGATCCCAGTTGAGCTACACCGCCTCACCAGCTTGCTCGGTATGGATGATTTCGATCTTGGTTAACTTTTACATCGGTTTGCCAGCTGGGTTCCATTTTTTAAGCAACCTGTTGGTCAGATGAAGAGCGAAGACACGGACTTCTCCGTGTGGTCGGTTCAACATCTTCATACGCCCAAAAACGTATTTTCGGACAAGAGCTGCCAATCGATGAAGGTCTCAGTTGTTGTTGGGCTGGCGACCTAGGAAAGTCACTGGCTGCGAAAATGAGGCTAAAATGGCCAAAAAATGGTAAGCAAATTGGTATTACAGTAGTTGGCTGTTTTAAAAGTAAACAGTAAGAAAATCCAGCCCCAAGAGCAAACCGGTGTGGGTCTGGGAAAACCTGGGCCCTTTGGTGCCCCACAGTTGTCGATTCCCCAAATCTCTCCCAAGACGTGGATGCTGGAGTCATGATTAATCTCGGACCGAAGGCGACGGTGAACGGTAGTCGTGTGCCCGGCTTATCAGAATTCATGGTACACGGAGTTACCTTCACGACAGAGAAGATACGGACAGAAGCTCCCCTGGGTTTGTTGGCTTGACTTCTAAGTGTATCATCATCTAACTCGGCTTGTCTATAGCTCTGGGGTGCTCAGGCGCATGGGTGGTCACACCTCATACTCGCACTTTGGTCGGCATGGTTATTGCTGCGTATGAGAACGAACCGTACGTTCACATCATGACTCGTGAGAAGCTTGTAAAGGACATCAAGGCAGCGCTGCCTAATGGTTTTGAGGTGAAGCTTGATGCCGGCGATTCCACGGATATATAGTTGACACATGACATGAATGAATTGATCTTTGAACAGAACAGCCTTCCTAGCCCTGACCCGTCACCAATCAATACTGTGGGTATCACCCGGTTGGAGCGCGACGAACTTCAGAAAAGGCCATCTTTAACACATCACATTATTCCAGGTGTTCATGTGGTGTACGATGAACGATGAGTGCGCAGGATCGAGGATAGGGGCAACAAAGACTACAGCCAGGTCCACAAACGTAACCTCAGACGCAAGACCATCAAAGTACAGGAGCAAAACCCCAACATCATTCAACAGGTCAAAGATCTTCTTGACAGGACGGCTTACCATAACAAGGGCTTTCTTGGATCCCATGACCGTGGAATGAGATTTGTCACTCATGCCCAGTTCGAGGAGATTATCACACCCGAAGTTGTCCTTCAAGTGGTTTCCAGTTTGCAATGCTATGCAACTGCACATGAGCACATGCGAATCGCCCAAGACATCTACTATGGCACCGAAGATGGACGTTGCCCGCCTTGCCGCCGGCTTCTTGCTTCCATCATTGGGACAGGTCAAGATGCGGTGAACAGGATCAAAACTCTGATGCAAGAAGGCATGAGTGATGTATGCCTTCCTCTTCTTGTTGAAGGAGAAGACACACTGGCTTGTTGACAAGCTGGAAATCGCCACCAATAAGTCAACGACATGGATCTCGAATCTCGAGAAAATTTTATTGCCATGTCTCGATGCTTTTCAGTACCCTTCATCACATGGAAAGATGGGGGAAAGCACTACCACTATGTGTTGAGGGGCGGTGGTCCTCTTCCTATGAAGGGGCCGCTTCCGATGGAGAAGAACCACAAGATGAATGAAGAAGGGGACTTTGGGGAGGTTTTCAAAGTCCAGATTAACCCCGGTGATAGGAACTTTGATCCGGAGGTGAGTAAATTTGTATTTCCGAACGGTTACATGCGCTGACATGTTCATGATACCTCAAGAAACAAACCGACTTTTTCACTCTCAAGAGACTCAAGAACATGGTGACTCCAACGCGTCTTCTCGAGCGAATGAGTTTGACCTGGAAATTAGATCTTTGATTTTTGCAGAGAGTCGTGCCCAAACGGTACTGGGTGCCAACGACAATGGCCAAACAAAAAGGCATTCGATCCAGCCCCTGGCAACATTTGAGGTGTACGACACGTACGATCCGGAGTTGACATTTTACTTTCTATTCCCTCTGGCAGATGGCAACCATTTCATACCAAGCTCCCGAATTCGGCAAGGAGGACATGGTATCTCTCAAGACCGATATTTTCAGTCTCGGATGTGTCTTTCTGGAGCACATTACCTGGCTACTCATGGGTGCTGACTCCCTGGACAAATTCGCCGATGCCAGGGTCAAGGAAGATGTCTACGGCTTCGAGACTGATACCTTTTACAATGTGTCCCAAACCAGAGACGCCGTCTGGCTAAAGAAAGGCGTCAAAGACTGGATCAGGAGACTGGAAGATCATGAAGACTGCGTCAAAATTGTCTACGATCTGCTCAAGATCATCGAGAGTGACATGCTCGAGGTCGACCACCGGAAAAGACTCGGCTCAGAAAAGTTGGTAATCAAGTTGGAGAAGGTTGGGACTAAATGGAAACGTAAGCACTCTCTTTATGGTGAGCGGCACTGGAAGGCAAACGTATTTGGATTGGATACGCCCAAGGAGCAGAATTCCGGTGCCATAGCACTTGTTTACTCTCAAGATCTCCTTTGGAAACCAAGGACTAGGGTGGATGACCAGGAAATGGCCCACCCACGGATATGGACCACCACCCCCACACCAGCCACACAACCTTAATGAGATTACCCCTGAATGCTTACACTCCCCACAACAAGACCAATATTGGGTCAATTTCTATGGAATTTATACCAAAATGTAGCTCAATCACTGTCAGAGTCAGACATTTCGTCTGCTTCCCTCTTACGCCGGTTTTGAACCCGATAACGTGTGCTACGCCGCACAGGCTCGGCTGGCTCCGGCTGCTCCACATCCTCCTTAGGCACCACTTCTTCCTCCACCACCCTCCCTTCAATACGAGCCTCTTCCAGGTCACAAAGCCTTACAAACTTGGAATTCGAATCTTCTCTATTCAACTTACGCCTTTTCTTTGCGTCCTGGGCTTTGTGGGCGTTTTGTTGGTGCCTTGCCGCATCAGCTTTGTGGATGGATACCTCAGATCTCAGTGTGAGTATAGTACTGGTGAGAGTCCTTGCCGCAAGCCGTTTTCCGGCCGGCGTATGGTTCTTGAGTAGGTCCTTGACCTTCTTAGCCACCTGGGAATCCCCCACGGTATAGAAAGTAGGTGTTTTTGAAGAGAGATCTAACGGCACCACAGGGACTACCACCTGGCTTGAAGAGAGCGGTTTGCGCCTACGTATAGGCCATAATCCTGTCCCACGCCAGCCGCCGGCAATATTCTCTTTCCTGAAGCCCTGCTTGCGGGCAAAGTCATACAGCCGGACCAAGTCGACCTTGCCGTCAGGCGTATAGTTAGTGAGGGCGTCGTTTACAGCCACAAGCCTCTTATACGCCTTCTTTACACTGGAAAAGCAGCCAATATCAAGGGGTTTAAAGGACGTGAGAGCAGTAGGGGGGCAGGAAAAGAAGGTAAATATTACTCCTGTAGTACCGGATTATAAAGTCGTTAGTAGTATGTGAGCCATGGCTATTATAAATAAAAAGACGTGGTTCTGATGGGTCCTTTGGTTGAGTCCTTGGGATAAAGACCTCTTTAAGCTATCCAACGGCCAGGTCGTTACTGGTCCAACCGTTCGATGATACGGCTATATACCAGTCCTTATCGAATTGGTCCTTAAACCATTGCTTTTGAAGGTCTTGGCCTTTAAAGATTACCCTGGGGGGGAGGACTCTCCCATCCTGGGAGATACACTCCAGTATAGTAGTCCAAGTCCTTTTTCCATTCTATTTAACGTATACAGACTTTTTATCCCTCATTAAAGACCCCACAACCAAGCCGTTCTCTCCCTGACCTTCCATTATTCCTACTTCATTATGGTTATACCTATTCTTAGGCTTAATCCAGTTAACGGTAGAATAAAGGTTAAAGAACTTGTTGATATTCTCCGGGGTAACTTCGTTAACTCTAGCGTAATCAATCTTCTTTCCCACCTTCGTTTTAATACTGGGATAACGGCCAATAAAGCGGGTTACCCAGTGCTTCCCAATGGAGTAGATATCGGCTTGTTCAGCCAGCATACTGGCCGCCAGAGCTCTTACGTTAGCGTGGGTGGGAGCGTAGCCAAGGCTTTCCTGACGAAGGATCTATTAAACGATGAGGTCTTCCTGGCCCTGAGTAAGCCGCTGTTGATTTTCATGGGCCTGTTTGCAAACCTGGGTTCCTAAGATGCGGTGCCTCAGTGTAGAACGTGGAACCCCGTACTTGTCGGACGCTTGGCGCTGGCTTATACCAGCAAGAATGTCTTGTTCGGCATTTGCGAGATCTTCCTCGGTATATTTGGCCATTGATGGGTACCTGGAGCAAAAAGAAGAAAAAGAAATGGTCCATTTTTGACCTCTGGGGGTGGAATATAAAGTTGGGGGGGCTTTCGGAGGTCCAGGGTTGTTGAGGGTTTAATGTGGAAAATGGCACTGGTAAGTTCAAGCCAATGTGGGCCACCTCTGTGGGTGGGCCATTTCCTGGTCATCCAACCTAATAGCGCATCAAGGCGGAGAATACAAGCCAAACGACAGAGCAAAACTTCCGATACCACAACTGTGACAAAGGCTGGTGATCAAGGCTTGGAACAGTAGTTCAATACAGCTAATAATCTTCAGTGGCCTCGAAGTCCTTAGTGAAGAAAGTCTATCGATACAAACACGTCCTGAAGACGCGTATTTATTTGTCCTTTCGTAGCCCGTGCCCTAGTAGCCTCGACCAGCTACCGAGTCTTTCCTTGTACTCTATGGGCAATATCATTTCTTTAGTAGCCGCGAGGCATTTGATTGTCCGCCCTACTTCCAACCATTGGTTCTCAATTGTACAGGTAGATAGCGCTTAGGCCGTGATGCGGCTGGTTGCTTGTTTGCCGTACGACAGCCGGGTTGAATTCCATGCCGTGAGCTGTAGCCCACTATAGGCAGGTTGACTAAGCCTCCTCGAGCTGCTGGCAGTTAATGCCGGAATTTTTCCCGAAGGCTAGTATATTCGTATCGTTGGCGAAACTCACCAGGCTTATACCTAGCTATTTATCTTTAAGCTTCTTATATAAGGAGGCGATATATAAGATAAAGAGGATTACTAAGAAAGGGAAGCCTTATGGAACTCTAGCTTAAATACTAATTTTCTATATCTTTTAGCCGTTAAAGGAAAGTATAGCTGTTCGGTCTATTAGCCAGTTCCTTACGTAGTATATAAGCTACTATAAGAAACCTTAATCTGGGGGAGTTACGAGTCGTTAAATATAATTTACTTTATCGAAAGTACTTATTAGATCGAGCAACAGTAATATACCTATAACACGCGATCTCCAGGCCTTTCTAATTTAAGCTATTATTAGTTTTATTACTAGGTTTATAAACCTATACTCTCTATTACCTATTTATTTCTTTAAAAGTAATTTATATTACTCGGCTATTTCTATTATCCATAATACTCAACCAGTGGGTATACCGTAAAAGTGTGTGAAAAGGGATGGTTAAAATTAAAAAGAGGCTGGCGAGCAAGCATCCCACTTAAAAAAGTGTGAGACCTACACCCTGGGTTAGGCGGGTGCCTGGCAGGCCAGTTAGGTGACAAAGTGACTGTGTGACGAACTTCTGTACAGAACCTCTGAAAGGGATACGGGTTGAAGGTAACTTCTGACAATTGGTTCGGTGCAGCTAAACAGTGCACAACAAGATGTCTCAATGTAAACACAAGATACCGTGAATACAATTGTGAATTGCATACTGCGGAACTATCTACAAGCTATCTAGTTCCTCCGTATATATAGACCTGTGGATCACCTGGATCGCGTTCCCTAGCGGTGATCCGGATCACATCCTCCACCTGAGGCTCACTATGATCACCGTGATCCTGTCGCTCTGCTCACTGGGATCACCATGAGCCTTTCGCTCCTCTTCCGACTGGTCCGTAATGACTGGCCAGGGGCGCCCCGCGCCCCGTGCGTTGGTCCCCCACCAACGATTGTGACAGACTGGCCTGTGCTTGCTCACAGCAGCTGACCTCCGTCTTTATTTAATCCGTACAGTCTTATCCTTTCCTTCCTTTGAGTATCAATCCATTTTATGATTACTATCTTAATAATTTTCCTAATAATAGATAATAGCGATATTAGCCTATATCCTCCCGGTGTCTAGTATTTTACTGGGTTTTTCCTAGGCTTAGGTAAAACTATAGCTATAGCCTCCTTAAACCTCTCGAAGTACTACTTTAATTCGAAATATCTCTGTACTAATACTACTAGAACTTTATAGAGTAGGTTACTACTGGCCTTTAAAAAGCCGATCGGTAGGTGGTTATGTCCGGGTGCTTTCCATGGCAAGGCTCTATGTAAGGCTAGTTTAATATCGTCAGGCCCGTATCCTCTGGTCCGTCTAGAAAAGTAACTCCCAAAGCGTAGACAAAGTAGGGTCTTGGATATTTGGTAAGTCGGTTGGTGGGTCTGGAAAGAATCGATCGGTGAGGGCCGTGGCTTTTTGGTCGTGGGTAGTTAAAAGTGTACCGGTATCACGGCGGTTGCACCGTGATCGTCGTTAATCTAGTAATGGAGCTTAGCACGTGCAGAGTACGGGCCAATACAATTTAAATAACTTCATATCTCGCTACCGCGAGACCTATTTATAGCTCTTTGAGTTACATCTTGACAATAGAGCCTGCCCATACCCGACGGAACAAAGCCCAGACCGTAGCTTAGCTGAATATCACTGTCATTAATCTATCAACCTGTCTTGCCCGTGACAGACTGCTTCGCGGGCAGTAGTTTGATTTGTTGTGTGGATTAATCCACGGCTCTTGGATAGCCAAGAGGTCGAATTTTGCTTCCTCCAGCAGTAATTCTAGCTGGCTTGGTTGAGAGGCTTGATGCGAGGCAAAAGGTAGCTCTCAATGAAGTGCTTGTAGCCAAGAACGAAAGCACCATCGATCTGGCCGTCCGAGTCCGTCAGAGTGGTTCCACGTGTGACAAAATTGCCATGGTGGCTCAAGGTCAAGTTCTTGGGCTTCTCGTGGTTGTCGACCATCTCACAGTCCAAAAGGCAGTTGAGCGAGGTGTCTGCTTGGAGTGGGAAACGAGACTCGATCTCACGCATCTTGGCACCGTGGACAGGATCCTTGTAGGGGGGAGTAGTGTGGCAGCTTGTCACCAGATGCGCGAAGAGCTTGTGTTACTCTTCCCTGTCACAAAACAAGTACCATATGATGTGGAGAAAATCTCCGTGTTTCTAGCTAGGCCACTGGCTACTACTCTACCAAGCCCCCAATCTAGCCTAAGGCTTTCTCGCCAAAGCAGCTTGAAAACCCGGGCACCCCTTCCTCAAATCATCCTTCGTAACCTTGTGCTTAGCATCTCTCTTCGCCTGCCTAAGACCACGCCCAGAATTCTTGACAGCACTCTGCTGGAACTCCAACGGCGCGACGGCGAAGTCGGCATCAGACATGCACAAGTGAAGGTGCATCTCTCCCGTGTTCACACGGCAACTTCTAGCATCGGGGTGGTCATCCTCCTGGTAGACATTCACGCAGATTGCGTTCTTCTTGCACTACAGAATTTGGCATGTGTTGTAGGCAGGCTCGGAAGAGCCAGGGAAAGTGACTTGGACGTAGACGTTTTGGTCGTTGAAAGGGCTTGCCGTAAAGGCCGGGGCCTTAAGCTGGTATTTGTCTGGACCTTGTCCCCACGGCGAATCTTGACCGAGACGCCTTTGTCGTTCTTCAGAATGACATAGCCGTGTGCAGAGCCTGCCGCTGCCTTAAAGGGCTCACCACCCTTGCCGATACAGAGGTCGTTCACGCCCTTGTCACAGGCCTTGGGGTCGTCAGCAGAGGCGCTGTGCCACCAGTACAGGGGGAAGCTGCAGTGGTTGTGGACTTGAACCAAGTCGGCAGCGGAGGCGGACTGGGTGAGGAGGCCGAATGTATCGGCCAGGCCGGCTAGAAAGAAGTTGGTAAAGGAATGCATTTTGCTGGCTTTTCGATGTAGGTGAGGATGATGGGGAGAGAAAGAATTCTAGAAAGAAAGTTGACAGATATATATACGTCTTGAAGGCCCCTCAAGAGCAGAGTGAACGAACTGGCGGAGTGGATCTGTGGAGGTAGCTAAATCTCTGATGGGTAACGAGTTGATGCTCCTGGTTTTGTTGAAAAGTAGCTCTTGCTGGAAATCTTGATAGACTATGTGGTGATAGCTTGATATCTTGCTCATGTGAGAGCAAAGAGCAACCCGTTCCCTGTTACAAGTATCTGCTCTCAGATACAGGTGGGTATTAGTTCCTTACAAAACCCAGTTCTACTGGTTCAAAGCCATTATGCTGCTCTTTCAACTTGACATGAAGTATGACTATAACCAGAGGACGATGGGATGATGACGCCAGTATGGAATCTTTCAAAGTGCTGTAAAAGAGCAAATTCAGATGATTTTGTGAAACGTCTAGAAAAAAAGAAAATTACAAGGGCGTACATCTGGCTCCCTTGTAGGAAAACAACCGCATTGGATGTCAGATGATTCCATCTGACATGAAAACAAGGAAAGCAAACTCATAATGTGCTAGCATACCTTGCAGATTGGTATGACTCTTACATCATTTCCCGTCATACCCGGCGGCGTGAAGCCTGACGCTGGTGTGTTTCCGGCATAGTTGTAGAAAGACCGCCCAGGTTCATCCTCGTCGTCTTGATCCTATTTCCCTCTGACCACTTCTTCAACTCATCCAACAGCTCCACAGGCAGCCCGTCAAAGCCTATCATCAGAGAATTCTGCTCGTCCTTCTTCGCATCGGCGGTGGCTGCAAAGTACGGTTCAGAAAGATCCTCGATCAGGTACCCAACACCAACGGGTTCCCCATTCTCGTAGGCAAGTAGAAAAAGCGACTTGCTGGACGAATTGAAGGGAATAAACAGATGGAGATCTTCTCCACCATGCCGCCCATTGGAATCGTGTAAAAACACTAGCCCCTCGCGAAGGAAGTAGCTGTGGCCTGAAAACGCACTCCTAGCTCTGATGTGGCTCTATAAGTCCCGGCCAATGATAGAAATGGTTGGTATACCTCTGACGGTCCTTTGGTGAGGCTGATAGTTGAGCCGGAACCTTGCTGTCGTCTTCCCTTCCCAAATCCCAGCTTTTTGGAAGTCCGTAGCATCAATGACAGACTTGCCAAATGACTTCAGTTTCTGGTTGAAGACCTTCCTGAAGACCGAGAGATATGTGTCTTTGCTGGCATCAGCTGCCTCACCAATTGTTCCAATGAGGTCCTTGTCTGCGTTCTTGTTCGGCAGGCTGTATGAGATGATCTTGGGGTACTTCCGTTTGATGGGGGAGAGGCCAGTGGCGGCGGTGGGCACGATAAGCACGCGGTGGTTCTTTTGTCTCTTGGCTTTGGGCTCTGGGAGGATGATGACATGTTCTGTAACAGGTTATCAGCAAGCGAGGATCGGCAGTGGTGCTGGGAACAAGATGATGACTTACCGATATTGACGAAAGGAATCATCTTGATCCCGTCTGCTCCGCCGATTATCCGCACACCCCCACTCTTCTTGATCTTAGAGTTCCCACTCTGTACCTCGAAACGCATATTGCAAGGAGAGGGATATTGTGAGGGAATATGCTTATTCGTTCCAGGCAAATGGAATCCTGTTCCAACGCTGATATGCTCTTCCTCGTTGCCATAGCAAAACTGATTTCCACGGGTCAGGGTGCTCCAGTCAAAGGAATCGACGGCTGAAGCCTTCCGCTCCTCTGAAGCATCTTGACCTGCGGCGGCATCATGAACCTCCCCGGCAAGCTCCTCCTCAATGGCGGCCTGTGTGCGGGGACTGCGTCTGCGAGGTCTGTGCCGAACTGTCGAACTCTTTCGTGGTTTTGGCGTTGCTGACGCTGATGCCTTCGTAGCTTTTAAGCTTGGCGGATGTGCGGGCTCCGGTGTGGTCGTGGCCTCCCTGGCAGCGACGCGTGATGATCGACGCGTCGGCGCGGTGCTTGGAACTCCAATTTGCTTGCGAGGAGGCATGTTTGCAGCCAAAAAAGGTCTTGAAGCAGATGGGCAGGAATGATACAATGTCGTCGAGATAGAAGTCGCTTTGGGCTTTGCGTTAACTTTTTATATAGTTCGGGGGCCGAAAAACTGGACAAGATTTGACTTTGTGGAAATCATTTGGTGCCATCTGGGGATGGCCCTAACTCAGCTGGTAATCTCAGCCACAGTTTGGATCCTTTTCTGCTGTTTGCGTTCATTGTTCTTGAGACAAGGGTATGATCTGTCGAAGAAACTCGTAGTGCTCGCTCGTCGAGCCTTCTCGTTGCAAAGAGAAAGGTAAATAATGGAACCCATACATTAAATGATTGGCCTTCTCAGCACAAGATGCAATCGAAATCCAGTCTCTGTTTGTTGCTGTCCAGGTGCATTTCGAAACAGTTAAAATAAAAAAAGCAAAAGGAGAAAGACGTGACCATGATGGGCTTGAACCCACTACCTGGAGCGAAGGGTCGGTCCGGTCCACACAACCCCAACTGGCCAGGCCAGGTGGCTCGCGGCTCCTTAACCATTGCGCTATCTACATACAATGTATAGCTACTTCGCTGGTGGGAAGAGCCAAAGGGCGGTATATAAGCTGCCGCCTACTGGATCTATCAGGTACCTATCTCGCACCATCGAACCTGGAACCCTTAGGGGCCTTTTCACACCAAACGATTCTTGTCCTCGACGTCGATGTGCTTGCTGCTGCCTTTTGTATTGTCCTCCTGCCACTTGTTTGTCAAGTTGAAGAGGCAACCGATGGAATGTTATGTCCAACAATGAAGCGACTGTGGTTGTATTCGGGAGACAAGCTCATAATGTTGGCAGGAAAGAAAAAGTCTTGTCCTCTGGCTTGTCCAGGCTTTTCCCACCCAGGTTGTATTGTCCACCTCGCATCTCCCAACCGCTGCCACTAGCACCGCCCAGACGACGCCACCTACCTACTCAACCTTCTCCAGCCTCTCCCTTCTTCAGGTACTCCATATAATTTATTCTCTCCTGACACCGATCTCTATCCATCCCCGCATTGTCCACCTTCGCCTGGAGATCATTCAGCCTCCGCTCCAAAGCAAGGCTCCGGAGAAAATACGCCGTCCTCAACGCATTCAGCGAGGCATTCTCCTGTCTAAGCTTGACGATCGTTGCCTCCAACTTGACAATCTTTTGACTCAGTTTTGACTCATCCAATTCCTCTTTATGCCGCCTCTCCATAGAGATCATATCACTTTCCATCTTCTTCTTCTCGCCCTTCAACGAGTCGCAGTGCCGTTGGAGCCGAGTGTATTCTTTGAGGAGCGTCTTGCGGTTCATACGTTCAGGGGGCCGTGGTTCGCAAGATGAGGCGGGCTTCTCGCGCGTTAGATGGAGGCGCGAGCGGACGCCCTGCATCCGTTCTGAAAAGTTTCCCATGTCAGATGTGTGGTGAGGGACTGATATGATGGGTTGTGTGTTTGCGGTGAAGTGTTGCTTGAGAGGCACCAAGAACGTCAGGACATGGAGACACCGCCTTGACAGTCCTGATGTCGAGAACGGAGAACCCCATGGGGAGGCGATGGATGGCTCAGGGTGGCTTCGCAAGACTTTTGGCGGGTGAAAGCTTAATGTTCAACACAAAATGTGGTAGACCCCGGTTCCTGAATCGCGCAATCACGGGAACCGGGGTTTGGAAATTGCAAACACTCAAGACAAACGTCGTCGATTAAAAAGCCAACTGCCAGCTTCATGGTGGATGGATTATGCCACCTACTCGATGCACAAAATGCTGTTGCAAGAGCCCCCTGTTTGGGTTCCTTTCCACCTTCCACCCACCTTCCTTCCGGCTTCCCCTACAACAAGCCAATAAATCTTCAACAGCTCTTCCCCAAGTTTTGTGAAACCCAGGTGACCGGGCAGCGGTAGTCGCAGAATGGAAAATGACAAAGATGGTCAAAAACCGGCGGAGGGGGATAGGATGTGCGATGAGAAGGACGATAAGGGAGATGACCAAGATGGGGAAAATGAAACTTGTCACCCGGATGGTATTGATCACTTGTGAGGGGAATTACACCGCAACGCCTTCTAGACATAATAGCAAGCAGCCAGTGATAAACAAATGTTTTTTCGCTCTGCAAATTGCCCAATTGCTTGACAGCGGCACAAGCCGAATAAATGAGGCTGCCCGTCGTGTGGTGGTCCTCGGCGCTTAACCTACCCGCCAACCGTTTGGAAGCGCCGCAAGCGGTGCGCCGCTCCACTAAGGCAATATGTGACAGCCAATTATGACTTGGTGCAGGTAGCAGCCGCGATTGACTTGTCGGAAGGGGATTAGCTACCGCTCAGGCGAGATTTTTGGATGCAAGCCCTGGTGTTGGATGAGTGGGGGAGAGGGGAGGTTCGGGGGGAAGGCATGCAAGTGTTTTGGCCGATTGGGCGGTTGAGGGAGGATCCTGGGGTTTGGGAGCTTGATTTTTGATGGGGGTCTGGAGAAAGGAGAAAGGCTAGGTAGTTTTACCAGCCTCTGGAATTTCAAGTTGCATAGGTACGGTTGGGTAGGATATAATTATGCTGTTTTGAGCCACGTCCGATCTGTTCTGGCTTTGTCTAGTTCCATGCTATCATTACGACAACAAAATGCACCCCCTTACTACGTCAGACCTCGCCTTCTTGCTTTGCACGTCTTCATCTACCTCCCCACCAAGAGCGCCACTGATGTTGAGGACAACGTATGGGTTGGTGGTTGTTATTCAGAGCGATGGATCGTTGGACATATCGATATCAGAACAAAAGCCACCGCGTGGAAAGGGGATGGTAGTCGGGGGGGTTGGCTCTGCTCTTGCCAGCCCTGTCATGCTTCCCGTTCCACGGATATCGCCACCGCAAAACGAGCATTATCTGCTTTCTCCAGATTTCACCACGTCGACGTACCTCTGGTCACCAAGCTCGGCGAGCTTAGACGAGTGGACACCGGCGGATGAGGTACTGCTAGAGTCGTTGTATTCTGGTGAGGTGGAGGAGGAAAGGGGTTGGTTTGACGGTTATCTTGATTGGGTTGGGAGGGCGGAGGATCAGCTCCATGGTTTGGGTTCGTCGAGGCTGTGGAGAGGACCGGAAGAGTCAAACGATAGCTTTATCAGCGTTGATTCTCCAACAGAATCAGGAGAGGGGATTGACGGGCAGCTTTTCAAAGACGAGGGCGAGAGAACGCTGTGGTTAGTGGAGGGTATGTTGTTAGCGTCTTGGTTGGCGCTGCAGGAGGGAATCGAAGGAGTTGGTTATCGCGTTGGCAGGTCCGAGGACGCTGTGGAGGGGGAGCAGGACGAGGGTATGTATTTGTTGGAAAGAGGGGGCACTGAGAGTTTGGGCGAGGTCGTTGCGGCTTTCTTGAGGAATGTGAGATTTTGAATGACATTGCCAGGCATTTGGGGCATGATGCATAGCATGGGATTGGGAAAGAACATTGACGAATATCATGACCCATTCCGACATCGAAACTGAGAGAGAAAAAATGGCGGTTTTGCATTTCGTTTGACCATGATCATTTGTAAAAAAGGTATGACGAGAAAACTGTTTATACCGTGGTATTATATGTGCTGTGATGAAGACCCCTTCCCGTCGGCTCCCTTAACCTCCCCTTCCATCCTCATGCACAACCTGTGCTTGTCATTGACGCGCTCCCCTCCAGTCCTGATGATCCAACCTTGACTCGGCATGACTCGATGATGTAGCCCTCTCCCCACCATCCCCTCCGCGCGTCAAAGTCAACTTGGGCATAGCAGCCCACCCCATTCATCTCAAAGCCTTGGAAATCATGAGCCCATCCTCACACGCTGGCAACTGTTCTGAGACTCGTTCCTTCTCACCCAGACTGAATTATCCTATTTCTTGTCCACTGAGATAACCCGACTACCGACTAGACATTGCGAAATAGAGCATAATCATCGGCCACCCCGTCGATAGTAAGAACGCCGCCAGTACCGAAAATAGGTTTGGATCTCTGTCCGATTCCCTGCCCGACCAACGAGAAAGCAGCGTGACGGCGCACCAGATCATGCCGATACCATACACCGACCCAGCCCACGCGATGCCCAAGATGATGCTGTTCATCTGGTCCTCTTTGGCGAACACGGCACCAGCGGTGTCGGCGAAAGGCTCCTCGAGAGAAAGATTCTGACCCATTTTGGCGGTTGGTGTGTGGTGCTACTGAGATAAAAAGGGAGGGTGTGGTGTTGTCGTTAGTTGGTGGTAAAAATGAAGGAGAGCGAGGTGATGGTTCGACCAGCGACAGACAAGGAAATTCCAAGCACAGGGTATATAATAAAATGATAAAGTCAAAATCTGACCTAGATGACTAAAAGGTCAAATGCAAAAGAGAATGGTAGAATCGAAGTGGTATTGTGTTGGGAAATGACTGCGACCAGCGACCAGCGATCAATAACCTGCCCGACAACAACAGTGGGAAAAAAAAGAACGAATGGGAATTTGTTGGTGGAGAGAGGGAAAAGGTGGAAGAAAAGAGATGGGAAAAGAGAAGCAGATGGAAAAAGAGAAGAGTCGAATCTCAAACACACCACCTCGTCTTGGGTAGCGCAAGGAGGTCAAAAGCTGAGGCGATCTAACAGCGAGGCGAGGTTGGTGATTGGCCCCTCCCCCAGACTTGAGACGGTTGGTGATCCGGACGAGCCTCCTTTTACAGGGGGTGACCTCCTGGTCGGTGCCCCGGTGGCCCGTGCTGGAAACGATGCCATGTTACCCTCCTTGACTTACCGCACGGCTTTGGGAGTTTCCGGATGGAAAACAGATGAGATCGTCGGCTCATGGTCATGCTGGATGCTACCATTGATCAGATGCAGAAAGTCAAAATGTATAAATATCGACGCGTCTTCTTCTGCAGTTTGCGTGAAGGGCAAGGGGGCCAGACACGCGAGGTTGCACTGACGTCACTTTGATCAGTGGGTCAATGTGGGGCATCAAAGGGCCCCAGCGTCTTTTGCTTTTGCGCCTGCCATCTCATCTCTGACACGCCCAGCAACACCCTGGGGCAACACCATCGGGCTGTCTCCCACATGAGTTTTCTCATCAATTGCATTTGAAGTTGAGGGTCGAATCAGGAGCGGCCAAGCGCAGAAACAAGCGCCAAGGCAGTATCCGACGGCGCTTGTGTTGGGATGCCAGGCCTGGCCACCTTCCTGGCCTATCAGGACGGCCTGGATGCAATTGCTGTTGTGACAGCGAGAATCCCATCCTTTGTTGTCCTTTGACATTCTTCTGGTTTTTCGCTTGAAATGTTGAGTTTTTTGGGTGGGTGGGTGCATTTAAGGGTTCATTTTCATCAACGCTGGGACCCCTGATATGGCTGTCTGGGATTGGTTTTCTATGTTCGTGACCTCGTGCGACGAAGAACAATGGAATTCTTGACATCTTTGGCACCAAAGATGCAGGAGGCAAAACAGAGCATTGTATGGACATCTGACATGGACCACTCGCTTTACCAAAGTCTTAAGGACTGCTATAAGTAGGTGGTGTGGACTTTGCCTCTTCCCCAAGGCTGAGTCTTCCAAAGCCAGCACACTATCGGTCAAATCTGCAACCGCAACTCGCTACCCAGGAGCAAGCTGGCATGGCAGTGAATCAGGAGTGCCAATATTCCTTGAAATACCTTAACGATCTATTCTCAGCCCTGTATAACGTCATCTATGGTCACACTTCAGCCCAGCCGGGAGAATGCATGGCCTTATTTTATAATCTTCTCATTGCTCTAAGATTCTATCTCAGTCGTTTCCCGGAATGCGACTATCCTGTTAGCACAATTCGAGATCTTGATGCCCCCCGGAGGGGACCTTTCTAGTAGTAGTATACTGGAAATGGAGACCGCGGTAAGAAAACTTGTCCTGAATCATGAATGACAATTTCTCCATTTGAGTATCGTGGCTCATTGAAAGACTTTGCAGGAATCATGAGTGCTGGATTACGGTTGCTGGACGACCGAGTCAAAGCGGCTTGTGGTAATTGGATTGCATCATCTGACGGTTCTGTAGATTTTCTTTGGCGCACACCGTTGCGCATGTTATGAGTTTGAGACGTACCTAATGCACCTTCAATTCATAAGAAAAAATCATTGTTATTCATCGCCATCAAAGAGCATCTGAAGAAGGCCATAATGTGCAGCAAGCAAACAGGGCTGTGGTGGAGTGTGGCGCCAGGGTGGTTGAACTTTGACCTTTCATCGCTCCTTCCCTTACTGTTGACTGCTGCCTTGAACTTCCTTCAAAAGTCTTCATCCCAACTCTGCTTGCCCCGTTCACCGCAGCCTCCGACTTTTCCCGACACATGCCCAGTACCCAGCAAAATGACAGATACGGATCAGCCACACTCGCACCTCGAGGAATCACAAGACATTGTTATGGAACATGATGAGCCACGGGCTTTCCCAGAAGTGCCACGGACTTTGCCAGAAGTGCCCCAAGTGCCGCAAGATTCGCAGACCCTCAACGAATTCCGGAAGTCCGCTGACGAAATCGCCCGCCTCGCCCTCCTAGTACAGCAGGAACAAGAAAATGATCAGCTTTTGTGCACCGCAAGCTCGGTTAACCTCATTGGCGACTTTGTCACTGCCTGGAGGATCCACGATCGGCTATTTCCGGGGCACGGCTCACCCAGTTCATATTTCCACGGAAAGGCCAAACTGAGGTGGGTGAGAGCTACTCAGCTGCGATCACGACCGAAATGAGATGATGAGGCATTTCTGGCAAGGTTGAAATGCCTGGGGTGGGGTGGGCAAAAATGATGGTGAGCGGCATATCCGGGCAAGGCAAATGAGAGAGATTCTAATGTTAGACAGTTTAGATACCAGCAAAGAGAATCTTCCCGCGGGAAGGGATGTTTTCAGGGGAGGATACCACAGCAAAAATCTCGATCAGACGTATGTTTGTACTCGTAGATTCTATTAATGACTAGCACAACAGCGATGGGTTGTGATATTGAGATTCCCGAATAGAGGCATGTCGAGAACATGGCCGATGGATACATACGTGAGACTTTGGCTCAATTGACGCATAAAGCTGCGGAATTCCATCTCCATTCCAGGGACGGGACATGTGAGGACCACGCCGGGCTGACAGTCGTTGAAAGATGGGATCTCACCATGCAATACGACATCGACGTGGTACAGCCGCGCATACGCTGACAATATTCTGCGAGGTCCGAAGCGGGGTCTCAATGTGTCGGGAATCAGACTTGACCTTCAAAGGTCGAGATTTCAATGACCGAGCAGAGCCAAAACATGTTGCTGATTGTGCTTTCCTTCAAGCTAGCAACCACCGCGGTTGCAACCACTGTTCAATCGTTATCCTGCCAGTCGGCAATTGCTCAAGATGTCCAAGTCAAAACCACATCCGGCCTCATCACCGGGCACCTCTTCCCCGACGCCTCCTGTGCACTTGAATTTCTCGGCATTCCCTACGCAAAACCCCCTCTAGGTGACCTACGATTCGCACCACCCCAAAGGCTCCTCACCCCGGACCTCTCCCGTAACGCCTCCTCCTTTGGCTACGACTGCCCCCTGTCCCCCTCCAAGCCATCCAACTACCCAGGCTTGACTCCCCAAGCCCAGCGAATAATCAACTTCTTCGCTTCCGCCGCCGGCACCCCCCAGAATGAAGACTGCCTCACCCTCAACATCTGGTCTCCCCTCCCTCCTCAGCCGCAGCCCCTCAAACCAGTCCTCATCTTCTTCTACGGCGGCCGCTTCACAATCGGCAACACCAACACCCCCTTCTACCACGGCGGCCGCCTCGCCTCCGCCCAGGATATCATCGTCATAACAGTCAACTACCGCCTCAACATCTTTGGCTTCCCTGGCTCATCCCACCTCCCGTTTCAAAACCCCGGGCTTCGTGATCAACGCGCTGCGGTGGAATGGGTGCGTGATAACATCCTTTTCTTTGGCGGTGACCCAAGCAAGATCACCCTTGCAGGACAGTCCTCTGGTGCCGTGAGCGTGGATAACTGGGCATACGCCTACCACGGCGATCCGATTGTCCGGGGGTTGATCGCCCACTCCGGCACCGCGCTTTCCTTCCCATCAAATGCGAAATCTGTTCAGCAATCCAATTTCGAAGCTGTCGCCAGTTTGGTCAACTGTTCCCTTCCCAACCCAATCACTTGCATGAGGGCAGTCCCCTGGACAACCCTCCTCTCGGCAGCCTCGTCTATCAAACCAGCCAAAAGCAGCAGTCGATTAAGGGGCATACCACCCTTTTGGCCCGCACCGGATAACATTACCTTTTTTGCTGCTGATGAGCTCGCTGGGCTGCCTTTGGCGAGGATTCCTGTTTTGTTGGGGAGTGCAGATAATGAGGCGGGGTATTATCGTGTTCCGGCTTATGCGCAGATCATAACTCCTACTGTGGAGGAGTTGTG